CCAGTCGGAACAGTGGCTGACCAGAACAAAGGGCAAAGACCCTGACCCAGGGGCAGACCCAGGTGTTACTAATTTGTGAAGGGGGGTGGCCTCGGGTTGAGTGACGGTGCGAATGGCAGCAGTGTATGAGTGCTGTGAGCTGGGGCGGGTAGCAGGCACAGCACCTCTGCGATATGCAGAGACAGGTGTGCAAAAGAGAACCGGATTCCAGTAACAGGCAGCTGTGAGTTCGGAGGAATCTGCACGGCACAGCCTGAGGAAGTACCCTGTGTCTTGGTGCGGCTGTCTCAGCTCTGAGGTCTGGCCTTCCTGCCCCGGGGCACCACAGCCTCTTTCTCCAGGCTCCATCTCAGCCAGCACCTAGGTCTCAGCCCAGGTCATGCTCAGTGGCAGGGAGCGGTAGGCGGAGCATCACTGATCTGCCCCTTTGCTTCAGAGGCTACACACTAGCACCTTGGCCGGACCCACCTGCGTTGCTTAAAGCCAACTGAGGGGGTAGAGCAACAACGGAAGTTGGGCGAAGGTGAGCCACAATGGAAGAAAATCACCATCTTCTAAGGGGAGCCGTCCCGATGGCCCTCCACACGAGGGGGCACGAGGACACCCGCCTGGCCACCCAGGGTCCCCACACAGCTGGACCTCGCCTCACAGGCTCCTGCCTGTGAAAGGAGCAGGGACAGAGGACAGGGAGCAGGTGGCGTGGTGTGGTCAGCGGAAGTGGCCCAGAGGGGGAGCATCAGGGTGAGGACCCGCCTGGCCCTCCAAGTGCTTAGGAGGTCCCGGCCACCTCTGACCCGCTTGGCCAGCTCCATGGCTTGGGGATACCGAGTCGCTCCCCGGTGTTTTTGGTTTTTTTTTTTGGTTTTTCTCCGGTACCGGGAACCGAACTCACGACCTTGCGCTTGCCAGGCAGGCGCTTTTGCCGCTGAGCTAAATCCCCAGCCCAGCTTCCCAGTGTTAAACCCACTTATTCAACAGTAGAAGGTGGATGGTGTCTACCACAGACAGCAGCCGTGAAAATGAGCCCAGCAAACAGGTACCTAAAGCTCCTCAGCTGGGTGGGGCCCCAGCTTCAGCCCCCGGCCCCCAAAGTAAGGTTTCTGGCAGATGGAAAACAGCTGGCCAGCACCCACCATACCTCCCTGTGCCGCCACTGAGAACGCTGTGTCCCTCCCCAGCCTCTTAAGTCACCTCCAAAACTAAGAGACCTTGTTCACCTCCGTTCCTTAAACACATATTGCCTGAGCTCTTGCCAGACTCTGAGGTGGACTCTGAAGTGAAAGAGTAAACCAGCACAGCCATGGTTCCTGCCGTCTGTTGGGGAAACATATATTGGTCTCAGCCAGGCGTGGTGGCAGTGTAGTCCCAGCACTCAGGAGGCTGAGGCAGGAAGATCCCTGTGAGTTCAAAGCCAGCCTGGACTACATAGAGAGATCCTGTCTCAAAAAAAAAAAAAAAAGAGAAAAGAAAGGGAAAAGAAAGATACATGGATCCTAATATCATGCAAAGGTAAACCTGGGATTGCGATAATAGTGTCTTTGGGAACTTCACCGTACTCAGGGAAGGCACTCTGGCAGCGGCGACCTCTCAGCCGAACCTGGACACATGAGCACTAAGCAGGTGAAGAGGCAGAGGCAACGCTGTCTACAGAAGGTGAGGTGGCATGCTCCCGTAAAGGAACTGCAGAAGGGCCGACACCCACATCTGCCGTGCAGGGAGGCACAAGAGAGACCACTCTCCGAGGGGCACTGTGTGGGCAGGACTGTCACCTACGCTGGCAGAGCCCTTTTCAGTGGTAAGAGAGCCGGGTGTGGTGGCATATACCTGTAATCCTATTCTGGAAGGCTGAGGCAGGAGGGTTTAAATTCAGACCCAATCTGAGCAATTTAGCAACTTACCGGGACTGTCTCAAAATGAAAAATGATTTAAAAAAAAAAAGCCTGGGGATGGATGTTCCAAAGTCATTCTACCACTCACCTGCTGATGAGCTTTTGGGTTGTCGCCAGCTTATTATGAATAAAGCTGCTATGGCCATTAAGTACCTGGCGGCAGAACTTCTGGGTCCCACCCTGAGTGTATATACAACTTTATAAAAACTTTCCAAGTCATTTTCCAAAGTAGCTGCACAGTTTTACACTGTCCCTGTAGTATGTAAGTGCCCCAGTTTCTCTGAATTTTCCCCAAAGTTGGGCTGTTTTCACATTTGCCCATTTTAGCCATTCTGAGGATATACAGTGGTCACTTGTTTTGGTTTTGGTTTTGGTTTAGTTCTTTTTATGTTTTTTTCTTTGTGATAGGGTTTCATCATGTTCCCCAGGCTGGCTTTGAACTCTTGGGCCCAAGCAATCCTTCTGCCTCAGCCTCCTGAAAAGACAGGACCACGGATGCCTGATTCTGATTGTGGTTTTAATTTGCATTTCCGTCATGACTGAAGGTGTGGCGCATTCCTTCCCTGTGCACTGACCTTTTGTACGCACGCTTTTGCAGAGGCCCAGGTCTTACGCTCATTTTATTTATTTATTTATTTTGTTTGTTTGTTTTGAGACAAGGCCTCGCTGTGCAGTTCAGGCTGACCCTGAACTCATTACGTAACCCAGACTGGCCTCAAACTCATGGTGATCCTCCCGAGTGCTGGGGTTACAGGCGTGCGCCACCACACCCTGCTTTTTTGCTCATTTTAGAACTTAGGGTGAAGGTCATCCTGTCACTGAGCTGTAAGCGTGTGGGTGTGAACTCACAGACAAGCTCTTCAGGTTCTAACAGGCCCATACTGTCACCCACTCTACAGCCTCTCTTCAGCAAGACTTTTGTTTTCTATAGATTTATTTACGTAATTCAGATTCTCCCTGTCAGAGTTCTTTTTTCTGTTGATTTTTTAAAAAATTTTATTTTAAAGAAAAAAATTTCAAAACAAAATAATAGAGTAACAACGGTTAATACATTGCATATTGTTATCTTTAAGTTAGTTACTTAGAGTACAAGATGCAGGCACTTAATTGTCCAAACAATATTAGCACAAACCTTTCTTTTCAATGAACTAAGAGAAATTAATAGTATAGCTATCTTATCATATATATATATTATATATATATAGAGAGAGAAAGTCAGAGATCTTAATGGTGTCTTTTTTAAGAATAGATTTTAAAATTTCTTGATGTTTTTTTTTCTTTTTTGTCTTTTCAAGGCAGGGTTTTACTATGCAGTTCAGGTGGTCTTGAACTCTTTAGTCCAGGTTGGCCTCAAACTCGCGTCAATCCTCCTGCCTCAGCCTCCCAAGTAATGGGGCTTGATGAATTCTAAAATCTTTCCCCATTTTTCTTTCTTTTCTTATTCAGACCTTTCATGTTCTAAGGAAGTTTTGCCTATTTCACAGTCGTTAAGCTTTTCTCCTACATTTTCTCTAAGAAGTTGTATAGTTTCAACAACCATTTAGGTCTATGGTCTGCTCCAATTTAATTTGTACAGATGCAATGGGGAAAGAGCTAAGACTCACAGAACTTTTCTTTTCCTAAAAGTAAATTCATAAAACACACAGTGAGGTCTGGCTTCAATACCAAGCTTCACCCCAAAGCAGAAGAAGTCACTGGTTTCCCAACATCATGGGGCTGAAGAGGCAACCAGGGGTAACCCAGGTTTTGTGGTTTCTTGTGTAAGTACATTCCAGGTAATGGTCTCGTCCTTCCTGTTGTATCTGCCCGTAACTGTCCATCCCTGTCACTCAGCTCTGAGAAAAACAGTTAACACGAAGGCCGGGTGTAGTGGCGCATGCCCATAATCCCAGCACTCAGGAGGCTGAGGCAGGAGGATTGTTGCAAGTTCAAAACCAGCCTGGGCTACAAAATGAGCTCAAAGCCAACCTGAAGTGCACAGAGAGACCCTGTCTCAAAAAGGCAAAAAAAAATAAAAAAGTTAACACCAAAAGCAGTCGGTGCAAGCAAGGCCCTTGGCAGGAAGAGGTAAGAGAAAATGTGAATTCTCACCCCACTCCCACAGACACAGCCCCTGGCCCATGGCAGAGTAGTTCATCTCAGCTGTGACTTCATAATAAGCCACGGCTTCCTGGGCCACAGACCCTTCCTACCGCCTCAGCCCCAGCCCTTCCCCACTGTCAGGAGCTACACTGGGCAGGGACAGCCGCTACCACCCGAAATCCTTTCCCAGGATGCATGAGGCAGGCTGGGGGTGTGGAGCCACGCAGGGCCAGAGCCACGGCACCCAAGGCCCAAGCCGCTAATGGAGGGGGACTTTGCCAGTCAGCGACTTCCACCCCAGTTGAGCAAAACCACCCGCACCTGCCTGGCAACAGCCTCTCTGTGCCACTTTCCTCCCTGCGGGGCCAGGCAGCCCCTCCGGGATGGGCGTCCTAGGACTTGCCATCAAGTAGGCCAAGCCTGAGAGTGTCTTCATGGCCAAGTCTCACACCAAAAGGTGGAGGAAGGTCAGAGTCACCCTCCCGGGACTTGTGTCTGGCTTTGGGGCGGAGGAGTCCTGGTTTCCATGACCTGCCTTGGGGGGGAGGAATTCCAGTGTATGTGCGCGTGGCGCAGGAGGGAGGAGAGGTCAGGCGGGAACTCCGCTTCGGAGGCTGCTTGTGAGGCCTTGACTTCGGGCTGCATTCCCTGAGCCCAGCACTGCACAGCTGGTTGCTGTATCCATCAGCTCCGGACAGCAGGCCAGGCAGTGAAATGCGGGTGGTGGGAAGGGGTGAGACTCCGGGCAGCGGGGATGGGGTGGGTGCACAGGGCCCAGCCCGGGAGGAGGTAGGCAGGGGTCTCGGCCATGTGGTCCGGCCTGGCGGCGCACAGCGACCTTGGCATGCTGGGAGTGTGCAGACTTCTAGGGGTGGGAGAGACGCCACCTTCCTGGGAGAGCGCAGACTTCTAGGGGTGGGAGAGACGCCACCTTCCTGGGCACCGGCCCTTACTCCGACACCCACTGGGGCCACGCCGTGTCCTCCTGCTCAAGTTCCAGGCAGACTTAAAATGAAGACGCAAATCACATACAGAGACAATTAATTTATTAAAAGAGGGACAGAAGTCCGTAGCTTTGGACAGTCGGGAAACATCGTGAGGGCTTTGAGGAGGAAGGGCCTGTGTGGCAGTAGCTCTCTCAACAGTCAGAGTCCTTTCGATCAGTAGAATTGCTTCAGGAGGGACAGCATCTCACAGATCTGTCCCAGAACTCCCACGAAGGTCAGCCAGCCAAATTTGGGCTCAAACTTCCTCACAAAGCCGTTTTCCTAAGAGAGAATAAATTTAATTTTAAATTAGTGACAAGGAGGCTTTCTGGAATAAAGAAAGCGCAGACACGTTCACGGTGCAGTACGAGGAGTCAGCCTTCTCTGTGCTGTGCTGCTGACCCTCCCTCTTCCTGTTCACCTCCAGAGCCAGACCGCACACACGCAGGGTCCCACAGAGGCACGCCGGAGCTTCACGCGTGGCTTTCCTTGTCCACGGCCTCGTGTTAAAAGGGAAAAAGAAATAGGCAAAAATAATTTTAAGATGTAGCTAATATATTATATTTAATGTCCCTAAAATACTATTCCGAAGTCCAGGGAGCACTTTGTACTCCCATCCTAACCCTAACTAGACTGCTCTCAGCTACCCCATGGCCACAGTGACCCCCAGCGGCCACCAAGCAAGGGGCTCAGAGGCAGGAGAAGCTGCCTGGGCTGCATTTCCGATCTCTAGTTCTCAGGGCTGATTATTTTCCAGCTAGGTCTTACTTTCAGGGAAAGCGGGTAGCTGCAGCAGACACAGGCTGAGAGGGTGGAGGGCCTAATCTCCATCTTTCAAGTGTCTAGCACTTAAAATTCACTTAGATTTATAAACTATTGTACTGATAAGTACGAGGAGGCAGAACGAATCCAATCAGACCCAGCCATTTGAACCTATGAAAAAGTGGATTGTTTCTATTACGATTCACTCTCTGTGAGACCAGGTACAGTTTTTGTTTGTTTTTAGTGCTGGAGACTGAGCCCAGGGAGCACTAGGTTACCTCCCCAGCCTGTTTCATCTTATTTTGAGACAGGGCCTTGCTAGGTTGCCCAGACCGGCCTGAATTTGTGGTCCGCCCCGCGGCACGGAAACACCACAGCGGCTCCCACTCCGCTTACCACCGCCACAGTGGCAGTTACCCCTCAGCGTGCGGTCGGCAGGGGACGCAAACCACAGCATGCGGCGTGCGTTAGGCTTCCCTGGGACCCGAGTCGCTCGATTTAACCAAAGCCTGCTGCTCCCGGAAACCGGCAGACCTGAGCACCCTCTGCATACTCCTGAATCACTGGCAGGAAAATGCATCCTTATCTGTACACATGTTATTACTGACGGACGTTGCTTGTTTGACGACCCATCCGTTTAAAGACTGCTCAGTCTTTGACCCGCTGCTTGGGCTTAGGGCCTGCACTGGGACGCAGGACGCGCAGTGTGGGTGGCAGCGTGGCCTTTCAGTGGCTTCTTCCACCGCACAGAGCTGTCATGTCTGCTGATTGTGCTGTGCAGGGCTGCAGCCTCCCGTCCCGTTACCCATCAGCCCCGCGTGTGAACATTACCCGGACGAGCCAAAGTCCTCAGGCGGGAGTTTCCTTTGACCGGTTCCTTGTTCTCAGCGGCATAGCGTGCCTGCTACACAATTCCTCGTTTAGCGGGAGATTCATTTAACAACATGGACGCAGGAACACAACTCGATTGTTAAGCAAGGAACATCCATAACAGCCTTAAACTCCAAACTGCGTCGTTAAAGGAAATATTTTTGGAACGAGCATATTTGAAAAAAAAATACTTTGAAATGCAAAAAGGTTAATGCCACTACCCTCACAGGGTGCATCACATACCATTACAATTGGGGTGCACGTGATTACACTATAAATACTTTCAACATCGCCTTGCGTATGCCAGGTAATATTTCTAAGGCCTACAGAAAATTCCGCTAATTTAATGTGACATAACTTTCGTAGCCAGTTGCTGGTTGTTAGACATGTGGGTTGTGTGCAGTTTAACCCTTAGAAGTAACGCTTCCACACTGAGCTCCGTGGGGTCCCTGCCCCCAACCCTTGTATTCGGGAAAACGGTCTCACGATAAGGCTGTAACGGTGCACCATGGGAGTGCACCCACTGCACTCCTGCCTCCTGGGACACGGGCCCTCCTCACCTACCGACAGTCCAGTCCTGTGCCGGGTCGTTAAATGAGTCTGCCGCTAAACAAGGAACTGTGCAGCAGGCACACTACGCCGCTGAGAACAAGGAACCGGTCAAAGGAAACTCCCGCCTGAGGACTTTGGCTCATTCGGGTAACTCTTACACGCAGAGTTGTGATGGATAACAGAACACAAAGCTGCAATCAGCAAAAATGACAGCCCTGTCCTGGAGAAGAGGCCCCGCGAGGCCAGGCTGCCACCCACGCTCCGCGCCCTGAGTCTGACCGCCCTGAGACTCCGCGCAGGCGTTAAACAACAGCTGGGCGTGAGAGGAAGGCTGTCTGCGCACACCGCTCTCCAGAAGGACCTGCGGAGCAGAGTCACGCCCTCCGATTATCTGCAGAGGGAGCCGGACCCAAATAATGCTGAGCATTTCCTATGCATTAAGGGGCTAATTTAAGCCGGCGCGGGGCGCACGACTATAAGCCTGTAATCCCAGCACTTGGGAGGCTGAGGCAGAAGGATCGCTGCAAGTTCGAGGCCAGCCTGGGCTACAAAGTGAGCTCAAGCTCAGCCTGAACTGCATAGCGACACCCTGTCTCAAAAAGACCGAAAAAAGAGGGGGGGGGGGCCTAACTTAATCAGTCTTAAAAAAAAACCAACACTGTGTTGAAATGCCAATCTCCTTAGCTGCTAGTAATGTTTTCCGCATACTTGTAATGATTTGTGTTCTCCTTTTTAACTGTTAAAAGGGTGGAGGACTTTCTCTTACACTGAAATGAACTCTTACGGTGTGTGTAATAACTGTCCTACTCTTGCTCTTTTACTAGGAGTTTCAGCCTTTTCATCTTCATACAACTGAATCGTGTGCTTCGTTTCCTTGCCTGACTCTTTCTTCAGACGGTGGATGCATATTAGAACGACGACATGCTAGCCACCCCAGCGTAGCAGACCTCGGCCACCGTCACAGAAAGAAGAAATCATCGCCCTGGGCAGACATGGGGCTAAGGAGATTCTAGGAAGGGGAGGAAGGAAGTGTCTGCCACGCCAAGTGCGTGGAAAACCCTGGGTGTTTCCCCAGGCGGGAGGGGAGAGGAGCAAGGGCGCTGTCTGCCCTGCTGGATGCGAACCCGCTCTGCGCACGTAGCCCGAGGGCTTTCTTGGGCAATCTGCCCGCAAGCCCTCCCCAGCGGGCATGGCCCGCTCTCCACTCTCCCTGCCGCGGAGGGACAGCTCCACTCTCTTCCGAAGGTCACCAGACCACGTGGGTTCCCTTTCTGCTTTTAGTCATGCTATGAGCTATCTGGCTGTGGGACTTGCCAGTGTTTGCTCTCTCTTTTTTTTTTTGGTACCAGGAATCGAACTCATGACCTCAGACTTGCCAGGCAAGCGCTTATGCCGCTGAGCTACATCCCCAGCCCCATCGCCAGTGTTTTCCAGAGGGACATTTCATAACGTTACTTTCACGCTGTTCCAGTCCCTCTGGTGCTTGCTTGGAAATGTACACCCTGGACAGAACCCCCATTCCAGCCCAGGGCAGGCTCTGAAGAGCTGATAGTCTTAGGGTCTTATTGTCACAGTTCCTTCATTCGTTAAAGTAACGGAGGGCATGGGGCTGGAAGCCATTTTTGATGACAATGTTTTATAACTATAGGTTATAAATTAATTTGAAACAGTGTATGGCTCATGGGGCTGGCCTATATTTTGAACACCTATGTCTGACCCAGGTGTGGCGGCACACACCTGTAAGCCCAGACACTCAGGAGGCTGAGGCAGGAAGACTGAAAGTTGGAGCCAGCCTGAGGTACTTAGTGAGGCCTTGTCTCACAATAGAAACTATCAAGGGCTGGGGATGTCTCTGTGGTTGAGCACGTGCCTTGCATGCAGGAGGCTCCGGCTTCAAGCCCCAGTTCCAAAAAAACAGAAAGAGCGAGCCGGTGGGGTGGAGGCTGTGCTCACACGAATAGATTAAGACGGTCAGCGGGAGAGGTCAGTTATAAAGGGGAGCCCAGTGCCCGCCCCTTCTCCTCCCCTTCCCTCCCCACGCCACGCGCCCCTCCGCATTGCACAGCGGCCAGAGGCACCCGACCTGGCGTTCCAGCCTCCAGAAATAAGAGCTCTTTCCCTTATCACGTGCCGCAGCTGCAGTGCTCTGCTACAGCAGCAGCGGACAGAGGACGCCAACCCGGAATGGCTCAAAGACCCGTCACTCCCATTGCTGCAGACAGCAGCCCCACGCTCCTCTGAGGGCTCTTCACCCCCGCCGCCTGCTCCCCAGGCCCAGGGTGGAGACACGTGGGCTCCCGGCCCCAGCTGGCCTGCGGTGACCACCACGGAGCAGATGACCACCAGCCTAGCAGACACACGTGAACTGTGACAGCTCAGGGGAAGGCTGTGGTGCGGGGGGGCGCAGGCATGGGGACAGAGGCAGTGCGCCAGCCACCATGGAGGAAGGCCTGGAGGAGGCAGCCTTGGGCAGAGAGCTGAGTGAGGAAGCAGAGAGCCCGCAGACCTCCAGGGGAAGATTGTTCCAGACAGGGGAGGGAGCAAGTGCAAAGGCCCTGGGGCGGAGCATGCAGCGCTTTATGCAGGGTGCTAGAGCGTAGAAAATGAGCCCTGGGCAGTGCTTGGAAGCCAGATGAGGCAGGGCTCAGAGTGCAGAGGTGGGGACTTTGTATTTTGTTCCCAGTGCTAGGACACGATGTGATTCCTATTTTTTAAACTATCATTCTGCCTACTGTGTGGAAAACAATCACAGCAGAGCAGGGCAGGGGCAGAGAAAGCGACAGCAGGCTGTGGACACGGGCCATGGGGAGGAGGACAGCCTGGCGCCACATCTGGGCCGCGGGAGTCAGAGGGGCCGGGCGCTGGAGGGGCCGGGGTCTGAAGCCAAGGCTGGTCCCAGAGCCAGGGTGCCGCCCCCGGGCCGCAGTGGAAGGCTTTTCTGACTCTTGTGTCAGTGTCGCCCACTTCTGCCTCACCTGGACTCCGCTTCTCCTTGACATTCAGTAGGTGATCTTAAATCTCGAGTTGAAATTTGAGAGATAAGAATTCGGCCCCCAAACGTGTTCAGCCAAAGGATATATGTCAGTATTTGAGATCGC